AGTATTTTTTAATCTCATCTTTTCCAAAAACAATACATTTCTTTACCTGTATGATATATTATTACATTTCATCATGTCATAGTTTATAGTCATCATCTCGGCAATGCACTTTATTATGTCATGGTGCCTATACCTGTATAGTACACACATGACCTTTGATTATTTTTGATATTTTTGACATATTACAATAATAATAATAATAATAATGACAAAAATAATACTGAAAGCCATGCTTTGTGGAAGAGTAAAGCTCTCCTAGCACTGAGATGCACGATTCGAAGGAGCTGGAGAGCTCCCCAGAGAACCGTCCGGGTGCCRATTTCTGGATCGCCCGTAAGGTCTCCACGAAATCATCACTGTCGCTCCCGGTGCGTGTTAAAGCGCGCAGTGGTAGAGGTATCTGGAGAGGTGAAATACGCAGCAAAATGAGGTGATTTGCCTCTTTTTTTTTTTTTATAAACTCGAGGGTTTCACAGTGGCTTGGTCAGGACCGGAGCCCCGCGGCTCTGCCTGCGTGGTCAGCAAGGAAGGGAGGCAGCTCCAGGGCAAGGAGTCACCTGCAGAGCCTTGGATCTCCCTTCACGTTGGGCAGGGCACGGGAGCCGGCAGCAGGTCCCCATGGAGAACATCTCCCTCAGCAGCTCGGCTCCCGCTGCCCCTTTCCGTGCGGATGGAGCCGGAGCAGCCGGGAGCGCTGGGAGAAGGTCCGGGCGGATGGAGGGCACCGCTACCGGCAGGACTGGCTGAAGTGCAGGCTCCTCCTGTTGAGCTTCTCCGGGTTGTTGGAAGCCATGTGGGAAAACTCGCGGAAGATGTCCAGGTAGGTGGCGTCTCCTGCAAAAACACACGGGAAGAGGCACTTAGTCCCCAGGGTTTTGCTGGGTCCTGCCTCAGAGCCTCTAACTTAGGGAGATCCGGGTGGATCGGGACAACTGCACCCAACACCGCTCCCTGAGGATGTGGATGGGAGGAATCAGCTCCATGTGGGAGTCAAGGATAGAGGCCAGGAGCCTTGGTCCTTACCTTTGCACTGCCTCGGAAGGAGCTGCTTTGGCTTTACATTATTTGTTAACATGAAGAGGACTATTTCTTAACAGGGATATGTAAATTTTTCATAAGACACTTGCTTCACAAGCAGATTTAGGATAAATTTTTCATATGAGAGAGATGCTTTTTAATAAGACATGGAGGTTGTCTTCAGCCAGGAAGAAAGCCAAGTTACTGGTTGTCTGTGGTGTCTTTGGGGCAGCCGGAGCTTCCAGCCCGTGTTGTGGCAGATGCACCAGCTGGGACGAGCAGCAGCCTGCGGAAGGGCACCATCAAATGCGTCCCACGCCTCACACAGAGCTCCTGTCCCCCCAGGAGGAACCAGGACAGGCCCCGAGGGGCCCCAGGGCACCTCGGCCAGCAGAACCGCTGCGGGTCGCCGGGAAACCAGCGGGATGGAGGATGGAGAGCGCGGCCCGAGCGGGCGGCACTGCGGGCCAGGACGGTGCTGGGAGCAGCCCCGCTCCCGGATCCTGCTCTCCAGGGGCAGCGGGGCGGCGCTTTGGAYCCTCTTCCAGCAATGTCTGCAAGGACGGGACGCTCGGGCAGGTTTCTGTTGGTGCAGAGGCAACACAGACACCCCTGCTCTCCTCCTCGGTCCCTGTTTTGTTGCAGAAGCAGGGGGAGGACCACAGGGCTGAGCCCAACTTTGGGCATTATTGGAGCAGGGGGAGCACGGGTTCCTCTGCTACTCTGGTGGAGGCTTTTCCAGTCCAAGGGTGATCAATTCAGCATCTTCCTGTTTATTTTCTGCCACAGAGAACCAAGATGAAGGGACCCAAGGAAGGAAAGATTGCACTGCGCGAGGGGGGGTGATCCAGCTGCAAGGGAGCCCGGTCCCAGGTGGTGCAGGGCCTCCCACTACTAAACCAGGCACTGCCGAGCCGGGAGGAGGCCAATATTAACGTACTGGGTGCTCTGCAGAGATGTGCGTGTGGATAGCAGGGATCATTTGAGCCTGTCCCTTCACCAGCTTCCTTTCCAAACGCTTTGAAACCACCTCGTGCCAACACAGTCACAGAAACCCAATAAAAGTRCCAGGTATGCATGTGCCATTCCAGTCCCCTCATTAACCCAAATTAAAACCATGGGCTGCAGAGAAAAAGAACAGGTTAAAGGAGGACAGTGTTCTAGATCCAGTTAATACAGACAAGAAGTCCTATGTAAATAAAAYAAGCCCAAGAAGGAGGAGAGGAGAAGTTTATCTAGACTTTTATTAACAGTGTTTCAAAGAGACAATAGAAGAGAATTGGAGAAAAAAGGCAGACACCACAGCAACAGCTTTAAAATTGTACAAAGATAATAACATACAGAATACCTGGTTCCATAGTTACAGGCAGTACAGGCTGTGTAGTGAGAGGGAGAATTAAAAACCGTGTTCCAGGGTTGCACTGCAAGCGGGCAGGTGAAGGAGGTTAATGGGTTACAGCGTATTTACAGCAGGTGCAGCAGCCCCAGCCATTCCCTGCCCCGGAGCCACGTTAATTAACCACAGCTGGTAGCTCTCACTTCACTAAATTTCTTTTTTTTTTTTCCCCCTGTGCTGTTTCCATAGGAAAGGGGGGAGTCTTGGCTTTCATTGCAGCTGCCACCTAAGGCCAGCCTGGTTAGAAAGACTGGGTGCCGCTGGGATTCGGTGGCCAGAGGGCTCCCCGCGTGGGGAGGTGGTTGTTGGAGACACACCAGGGATGGAAGTCAAAGGAAAGGGGTCTACGGAGACGGGGTCAACACCCCTGGAGCAACTGCCYGGCCCCCACTCACCTCACACCAGCCTCCAGCTCTGGGTCTTCCCTTAATGTAACACTGGGCTTAAAGCTAGGACAAGGGGAAGCCCAGCCCAGGGGTGAGGATGTGGCAGGCGTGTTGGGATACGAATCCCATTCCTATGGGAACAGCACAGCCTGGCTTGGAATCCCTTCAAAAGAAGCCCTACTCTTCCCAAGTCGCCCTCTCCCTTCTCCTCTCCAGTCCCCTCCTGCCCCACACCCGCTCACACTCACATTTGTCTGGCCAACTATTTAATACCTCTTTTAATCCATTCCTTCCATTTTCTCTTCGGTTGAGACGAGACAAGAGAATTGGGCCCGGGCCAGTCTAGTCCAGAACACCAGGAATTCAGCAGGTCCCAACAGCTATAGGCACTGGAGAGGCTGCTCGTCAGTGCCTTTCCTTAGGAAATGCTGTTTTTCCCTTGCATAAATAGTCATTTTACTGATGCCTTTTTCATCCGTCTTAGGCTCATCACAGTCTCACCTAGTCAAGCCTCGTTCTTCAGCCTCACTTCCAGCCCCATTCACAATCTGGGCTGGTTTGGAAATCTTGCCCTAGAGCTCAGAAAAGCAACAGACAAAATAATCTGCAAGGCTGAGGCAGCAGTTTGGGTCCACCAGGGATCTGACGGTGCCCAGCCTTTGCTTTCTAACAGCTAAATCTCATAGAGGTAACATCTGCACTCTTTTGAGAGAACAAAGTTCTGGTATTGGATATTTCAGATGGTAGTGTAGGACAAATGCCTTCAAAAASGAGAAAGAGCCAGTGTTTGCACCTAGTCTTTGCTTTGGCCGCTTCTCTGAAAACAAACTTCACGAGCTCCGGCTCGCCCCGGCTCCAAACCTGCAAACACCAACCCTCCCCATCAAAAAACACAAAGCAACACAGAAAACGGGGAGAAGCGCCTCCTTAGCGTTTGTTTTTCCTGGAGAATTTTGTTTTAGAAACTGCAGGATGTACTAAAGTGGTCTATTATATTTCAAACTAGATGCATTTAATGCCTTATGATCTGCATCACAAAAAATAGAGATAAATTGGGGGAGAGGGAAAGGAAAATGGGGGGAAGGAACAAACAGATTTGGGGAAAAAATCCCTAACAATGTTACAAAAAAAATCCTGACATTAAATACAGCCAAATTGCATTGAATAAAAATTGCACTAGTCCTCTGGGCATATCAATAATAAATTAAATACATAACAATTTCACTGATTAAAAAAAGTCAGCACAAAATCCRTAACAGAAGAACGTACCCCCCCCAATACTGTAAGTAGGAAAAGTGCACAAASTTGTTTTATACATTGAATCTAAATAAAGTACCAATACATATTAAATAGATAAATTGTCTTGCAAAACACTGCTTTTGGCATTTGTATTTACATATGCTTTAAATGCACATACTTCAGCAGTGCAAGAGTCTGAGCTTCAATGCAGCAAACTATACATGATTTTTATATTCTTCTCGTGAGTCACTGACGCTGTGAAATAAAATGGGCCGCAGTGGAAACCTTTGCCTCCAGTTCCCAAGGGTGCAGGAAGGATCAGCCACATTGCTAACTCCTCGGAGGAGATTGGAAAACCAAATGGGGTGTTTTAAGTTGCTGTGCAAGAGAAAAGCTGTTAGACAAGCAGCGCATCCAAACTCACGAGCCCAGACGGGAGCCTGGCCGAGGAGAAACATTTCTAGCACTTCAAGGTCTCCAGCGTTCCCTAAGTGAGGCCGGTTCTGGTTAAGCGTGGCCTTGCTCTGGGGAACCACATCGGCACTGACAGACGCCCGAGTTGATGCAGATCAGGGTGACGTGGGCGAGGTTTAAATTTAAAACCCTACTAGAYACTAGAAGGGTGTCTAGCTCCTACCGAGGGGATGCAGCCAGTTCTGGGCTGCAAATTCCCATCCTGACCGCGGGGTGCTTCAGGGCGATCCTCTAGCAGTGCCAGCGGCGGGAGACACGCGGCTAAGGGCTTTGCTGCAGTGCCCCATGCCCAGCACCCCGTCTCATTTCACCGAGGGGGCAYCCCAAACCCTCCCAGCTCCGCAGAGCGAGGCCACGGAGCACAGGGCTGATTTGTAACATTAGGGATGTCAAATGAGGCAGGGAATTTTGGCCAGGAGGACACAAGTCCGGTGCAAAGGACTGCAAGGCCAGGCTGCAGGAGAACGCGGCTGTCCCCTGGGCGCAGCTGCTACAGGAAACACGGAGAGGGCTCCGGRGTCAGAGGCCTCCAAGGGTGCAGAGATGGGGTGAACGCAGCATTCCTGAAGCTCAAGGGACTAACGGGGCTGAGCTCAGTCATTTTGGATTTTCTAAGATGGGTGGAAGATGATTATTTTGGAAAGAAAGGCCCTGAGGCCAGATTCTGGACTGCCAGCAACTCCAGGACTATTCCAGATTCACGACAGCTGGAATTGAAATCAGAACTTAGCTCCAGAGAGAAAAGGCATGAGAAAGCCAAAAGGGCCAGATAAGAGACCCACATTGCACAGACAAAATTGTGGTCCGTTTGCAGCAAAATCTGGGGCAGCATTTCCCTGAGGGAGCAGGGACTCCCCTTGAACTGAGAGGACCAGAGTCCAAGGGGAGTTCGCTACTGTTTGATTTTTAGACATGTGGTTGGTCCAAGTATTGTTGGTTCAGCATCTGAGGGCAGAACCTTCAGCAGTAGAAATAAGTAGAAATAACTCAGAGTGCTAGACTCTAGTCTACCAAGAGCTGCAGCATGACAGCAACCAGTATGAAAAAAAGTGGAGGAGACAAAGATACATAGGATGAAAAAACGACTATTGCTACTGCCATAACAGAGGGATTGGGAACTCCCACCTGCCTCCTGACCTGTGTTCCTTGTGGGATTCGGATCCCTCCAGATTYCAGCATCTCCTGTAAGGCACCGTGGCCCAAACCAGGGCTAGCAGCSCAAGCAGGAGCAAATGCCAGTTGCGGACTGCCCTCCACGGGCAGCAGAGAACTCTGATGGCAGCAGCAGCTGATGGCATCCAGAAGCAATCCCAGGACACCTGGATGTCCTGGGCATCCCAATTCCCAGCCCAAGGGAAGTGGCTCTGCGAGTCCACAAGGTTGCAGCATCTCTGCACAGCATGATTCCTGAAACACTGACTATAAAAACAGCAACAAAGTGCTCTGAGTAGAAATATGTTCCCCCACTCCAGTAAGGGAGGAAATAKGAAGAAGGTTTTGCTGGTCCTTGGATTCAGGAAACTCCAGATTCCTGGGCCAGCTGCCGAGATGCTCTACTCCTACATTTCAGCATGCAGGCTACGCAGGGAAGGGATACACATGCAAACAGAAGTCTCCACAGAGGTGCTAAGTCGGAAATCTGAAGTGACCAGAACACAGAGCCGAACTCAAACCGCGCGTTTCAGGGGGCCATTTCGGCAGTGGGAATTGGACTTGGCTTTTCATCCCTGACGCGAGGCCTGTCGCCAGCGAGCAGCTCCTGCCCGCCTCCGAGAGCCGGCGGTGCTGCTTCGCTAGCAACGTGCTGATCCCGCGGCAGCGCGGGGCACGCTATGGGCTATGGCTTTGACCAGCGAGCCACCACGGGCCCCAAAGAAAGGAAGCGTGGCTGCTATAGACCTGAGCACCTTAGGTGGGTGGCCATCGCTCTCAACCCTTCCCTTGGGCCTGCTGGAGCAAAGGCCCCACWAGACAGACTCTTCCTGGCTTAGAGGTCATAGCTTTGCTTTCTAAATTGGCCCCAGCGGCTTCTGTATGTTGCAGCAGCCCCGGGCTGCGGGTCGCACCGCCAGGAGGGCTCCTGGACAGACTCCCCTCCAAGCCAACTGTTCAGACAAGAATTCAGTGSATAGGAACTACACTGCAGCAGAAACGTGACGGGTTGGTCTGATCATGTTGTTGGTGGATTTCTCCTGGTGATAGAGGGTTTCCTTTTCTTCTTTTTTTCTCTCTCTCTTTTTTTTTTTTTCTTGTTTTGTGCTGAGCTCTGGTCTTACATACTTATCACACACACACACAAGCCCACACGCCATGGTCTGTGCTTATGCCCTAAGACTCCTCCAGGCAATCAACTATGCAGTAGGCAAGCACGGTAACTTCATGCTGACAGGAGAGGTCCTTTCTCCTTCCTGGTGGATCCCAACCTATATGTGCAGGCATAAGAGACAGACCAATCTGCCAGAAACACCAATATACCAAGGGTGGGGCTCACACGGCTTCTAGAAATCCAGCCCAACTTCAAGATGGCAAAAGGGGAGGYGGGGGAGTCGTCACTAACACTCATCTATGTTAAGGCTGATGAACTCCTGTATACATTTCCTGTACTGGAGCTCAGTAGGGCTGTTGCTGGGGTATTGACCTGGTTGTCCGAAGGGGCCCTCTGCTTCTCGCATCTCCTCRTTCATTCGAGCCAGACGCAGCCTACAGTGAAACAGAGGGAGGAAAGAGATTTGGTTATTCCTTCCTCTTGGCTGTTTTCAGGCTGTGTTCCTGCATTCGGGCACCGGGAAGTCCCAGCTGCACTTACAAGGTGACTATATCTGCATTTGCTGCCTGGACTGCAATGCTGAGGGGGTCCTGCCCATCGCCATCCACTGCATGTTGATTTGCTCCTCGCTTSAGGAACAAGCAGACCTGGCTGTAGAAGGGAAAGAAAACCATCAGAGCAGAAATCCATGCTCTACACCCCTAATACTGGTGTTAGGAGCACTGCTCTTCCCTGGGCAAGCAAAGATCTCCTTGCCTAGAGAGGATCCCCTCTGAAGTGACTTAGGGGATGAAAAAAACAGCAGGCCTGCCAAATCTCTTCATCTCTTGTACCCCTCCATAACAGGAATGATTGCATTGGACAAAGGAATTTGGCTACAGGATCCCATTTACCTGTCATCATGGGGGCAATTACCCAGCACATCAACAAGCTGATGATGTCARCTATAAAAAACACAAGCATGCTTTACAAATAACCAGTTCACCCAAACCCTGCTCCCTTGGTCCCTCTGGATGTTAAGCCTTCATCTCCAGCCCAYGGTGACAGAACATAAAGCAGGGTATGAAGGAACTCACCCAGTGTGGCCCAGGTAGGTAGCATGGTGCAAGGGAGCGCGGCCCCGGCTATCTCTTTGGTTAACATCTGCTCCATTCTGCAGCAGGAATTCACAGGCTATTAAAGAACCCTGAGAAGATAAAGGGGGATTTATAAGTAAATTCAGACAGAGGTCCTGAGAGAGCACATAAACACGTACCATGCCCACCGTGTACTTTGAAGAGAGTTCAAACCTCTCACACTCCCAAATACAGCACCCTAGAGACAGCCACCACCACAACCTACCCCCATCACAGCTTGAATCAGGGGCGTTTTGTTTTCATCTTCGTCATTCACCCAGTTGACCTCGGCACCGTGTGCCAGCGCTTCTGCCAGGAGAGGCAGGTTTCGAGCCTGTGCTGCCTTGTAAATGAGCAAGCCAGGATGAAGCTCCCTCAGGTCCTCCAGATCCGACGCTTCCTGCTCAATCTCTGCCTCGCCGCTCGACTCTTCAGATACCTCGCACTCTGAGAGCGAGAAAGGGATGGGAGACATGACCCAAGAGGTTGGCATTTCTTGTTGTTCTTGGCATCAGGTGGGCCTGACCACGTGCCCTTCCTCCCCAGGCTCCCATGGGCAGCCTGTGTGTGACACCCACCTTCCTCTGTCACGCTGTCCACCACGGAACCAAACACCAGGATATCGGTGCTGCCGTCGGTGCTGCCTCCAAGGCCACTGTCACTGCTCAAACCTGCAGGGCCAACAGAAGACAAACAAAGAGCATTTTAATACACAGGTGACCAGCATGAGGTGAGGCAGCAGAGGGGAAGAGCTCTGCAGTGGTCCAGACATCGCATTGCTACCCCATCTTGTCCCACTCAACAAAACTCCACGGAAAATCTGCAACGTCTTATGGTGCCCATGACCTTACACTTGCCTTCGTGTAGGGCTGCACCGTCACTGCCATGGCACTATGGTCTGTCGAGAACAGCATTTGCCAAGACCTGAGGGACGCTGTGAAGGAGACTGGAGCTGAGCAGCAGCAGAGACAGCTTTGTAGCAGGTCACACGGTGTCAGAGGCAACTCAAGACACCTCTCTGCTTTTACCAATAATAATCCCTATTTCCTCTCTTTTTGAGCTCTCCCAGAGCTTTTCAGTTGTCACAAGCCATGTGCCAACGCATGGCCCTTGTGGTAGATTACTGCCCAGGCCTGGACCAAGGAATGTCTATAGTAAATATCTCATGTCAAACTCTTCATTCCTCATTCCCTTTCCCCAGTGTGTCTCCCATCTTCCAAGCCAGACTGGCAGATGTTGCAAAGCTGCTGATTACAGGTAAGAAACAGGAGTCAAAGATGAGGCAACTTGGGCAAGGACACAGACTGTGTCAGCAGCTTCTTATCTTTTCCACTTGCTCCCAGAAACAACAATCAACAAACAGAGGAGAAAAAGGTGACAGCAAAGAGGTATGTGTGAGACTTGGTCCTGTCGGGACAGGGATAACAGGTTACCTTTGTCCTGACAGGGATCCTCAGCTGCGTTTAGCTTGCCAATGACTATCAGGGTTGGGAAGTTTCTCTTTCCCTTCCCAGACCCGCAGGAGTTGARGCCCCAATGATGTCCAAGGCAAAAAATCACTGTGTTTAGGTAGCAAAATAACCCAGGTTGTACCTGGCTACGCGTTTCTGAAAATATCAGCTGATCGGCCTTGCCAAAGAATAACAGCAGGGATGCCTGCAAGAATTAAACGTGTCAGCCTGGAAAACCAGAGCAGAACTGCACGTCTTACCCTTAAAGGCTGCCTATAGACATCTTCAGAGCACCTAGAGCTTGAGAMTAGATAAAGAACAGCCTCTGGGAATCACCGGGGCTCACATCACAGCTCACAACTAATYCTTCAACACTGTTCAAAAGCCCCAGGAGATAAAGTCACAACAGAAACCACTGCTGTCAAAGCGCTTTGCATCAAGGTTGCTCTGTATTATTGCAGGAAATGGTGAAGTTTACTAACCCATCCCAAAACAGATTCACATTAGATGGACAAAACTGCCCAAGGCTCCTTCTTAGGCACAGTGATGTCACCTATGGAAAATATGAACCCACACCAATTGCTGTGACCTCTGAACACTCCTAGCAGTGGAATCCAGATCCACAAAAGAACGTGATTGAACATCAGACCCTTCTCAACTTCAACGATGAGATGTCAAAGTCATCACATAGCATCTCACTTGGAGGCTGKGCTCTCCAACACTTTTCTCCCAGTGCCCTCAGGACAAGGACACATCTCAGTAATGTTCAGGGCTGGGCTGAATACTTTTTGTGTGACTTGGGTTATTCAGAAGAAAACTGGTTCACAGACTAGCCACAAATCAGGTCACTATTTTACGGCCTTGCTGTAAAATCATTTCAGAGACGTACCATGTTCAGTAAAAACTGATGGCAAAAAAAACGAAGAGAAAAATAACCCTATTTAATTCATATGGTAAGTCATGTAGAATCTACCCCAAAATATTTAGTACTAATCTGGTACATCAATGTAGATCCAACCTTGTAAGATCAGATCCTTGTCAGATCTAGACTTATACAGCCATACASAGGAACAGGCCTAATCTGTAACCTCGGATACTTTCTCAGGAGTCTTGTATAGTGTCAGTACTACATTAATAGAAAAATAGAGACCAGACCAGATAGAGGGTCCCTTGGCTATAGATAGAGGGGAGCAGATTATTTTTGACGTAAGAATTTGGGTGATCCTGCTACCCTCTGCTGCTTTGTTATTCAGATTCAATCACTGAAGGATTTTGGAGACTAATGCACATTACAGGTAGGGAGTTATCAAAAGACAAGGTGCTTGGATAGGGCTTGGGAACTTCCTGACTGGGCGAACGCAGCTCCCAGGAAAGGTCCAGAGCGGCACATACCCTGTGCATCTTTTTGGATTCACTGCTGCTTTTTGTAGAAAACAACCACTGCATCTGCTGTCCATTATGTCAGCATAAAGAGCAACTTCAGCGAGATATACCTCTGTACTCTGGGACTACAGATAAACAGAGAGGATCTGGCTCATGACACATTAATGCTAATATTTGGGGAAAAAATAGTTCTGTTGCCACTGAATCAAAAATTTCCCTTTTCTTCTTCAGGAGGAGGGCTGATGCTGAGCAGCTCTGTAGCCCTGCATCACCCAAGTGATGCAGCCAACTGGCCTTCAGCTCTGGTGCAATCAAGTTGACTAATGCCGAATTCCTTGAAACTAGAATACTCTTTAAGGCACTGATTCAGCCAAGCACTAAAGCACRTGTTGCATTGATTTCTAGAGGAGATAACATGAAAAAGGAAAGCCTGCAACTTTCTGCTGGGCTGACTCAGACCCTTAAACTCTTTCTGTAAGCTCMTAAAACCACAAGCAATTGAGGCAACCTAAGAATTTGCTGCCCCTTAGCTGAAGCTCAGGAACAGACTGTGCTCCTAGGCTCTGTCAAATGCAGAATATTTGAAGTAAATGCCTACAATTCCTGTTGGCAATGGTCTACCTGCACATAAGGATTAGATTCTGCATCTCATCTGAGGGACAGTGGTTTCTTTTTAGTGCAGTAGCTCAACTGCTTGAAACCCTATGAGGTTTTTTTTGTCTTTCAAAACCCTGCCAGCCTGCCTTACCCTCAAGCAACTGGTTGTGTATGACTTCCAGTCCTCTGGTTGAAAAGATATATATACAATTGCCTCTGAAGCTGGACTTGAAACAAGTAGAATTTGGGGGGTCTCTTTTGCTGCTGGCTGCCAGAGCGTCACCTTACCTCCGTCCAGGAGGAACGGCGTACCGCTCCCACCGGGACCAATGCCACTGCCACTCCATGGGCCACCTGCTAGCGGATGCTGCATAGAGATGTGGCTGGCACCTAGAGGAAGGTGGACGGAACATGAGGGCAGTTCATTGTCACAAACAAAAAAGAAAAAAGAAAAAGGTCCATAGCAGGACTTGCCAAAAAAAGGAAAAAGAAAAAAAACTCAACCAAAACCACAAAAATCTGACAGAACGCACAGGCTGGAACTAAAAGACGTAGGGGAAAAAAATCCCATCCACAAGAATGCAAACACCAGGGACTGAGYGTATAGGATATTAATTAAATGCACTGAAGAGCAATGGGTCGGAGTTTGGGCAAAAGCTCCTCATCACTCTCCTGAAACATTTACCCAGTACGTGTGATCTGGTGGGTTGGCCGCCTCTCCAGCCAGGCTGACACCTCACCTGCAGCTCTGGTGCAATGGGCATGCCCCAGAAGAGGCAGGAGGCAAAGCTGCTTTCTTTCTTTCTTTCTTTCTAGGTACTTACTGCGTGGGCCAGAGCCAGCACCGGTGTCAAAGTAGGAGAAGAGAGAGTCCAGCTCGTCAGGGCAGAAGAGAGAATCTCGCCGGAACTTCCGCTCCAGGGTGGCTGCTGTTTTATGCAGAGAGATTTTGAAACACACAGTTAAAAAGAAGCAAATGAGGGGAAAAAAAGAAAGGAGACAGATAGTCCTGCAGCTGCATTTACACACACTGAGCTTGCATTTCCAGCCTACATCGGGTTGCRTTCAGTGCCATGGCCATCTTCAGACAAACTCTCAAGCAGTAACAAAGAACTGGCCATAGATCATGGTGCACTGCAGGCCAGGAATCAACCAAGGATAACTTGGGCAGCCAAAACCCTTCACAAACAGTCACCTCTAGTACAGATTGAGCAGGTTATGGGTTTTGAGGGGGGCGGAGGGGTAGTTTTGTGTATGTGTTTTATTGAAAAGCAGGAAGCTGCAATACAAAGGAAGAGCAGATGACTAGAAGCTGTGGGTCACCTAATGTAATGACCTCCTCTAAGCACAAGAATTTCCTTAATAAKACGGAAAATATTACAAAGTGGCTTTAAAGACCCGTGTCAGGAAGGTTTGTACCAGTGCACTTTTGCCTATATCCGTCAGGCTGCAGGCTCTGGAGAGACAGGGCCCCACGTGGTGCTACAACAGTTGCGCAGACATTCACAAGGAGCAGTAAGAGGCAAATACTCCGCATGGGGTGACAAAGACACCTCCCCACCTGAAGCTAACGTGGCTGGCGAGGCATTTGCTTCGTGGCGGTACTTCCTCCGAGCCGTGGGGGCTTTCGTGGTGCTGTTGTTCCTCTGACACTTYTTCACACACCAGCGCCGAGGTTTCCTCTCGTTCTCCGTCAGGGCCTCCCCATTTGACAGCTTCTTCAGAAATTTCTTCTCCACATACTTCACCTTGATCCAGGTTTCCTTGTCCTGCCTAAGGGGAGAAGAGCATAAAACTGTGCACAGGGTCACTAGGCTCACCTAAAGCAAGCAAGGAAAGGAGGTTGCTCTGCAACCAGCAAGGACTGTACAAAGAAGAAAGAGCTTCTTAAGCCTTAAAATGTTTCCTGCTGTGAAGCAGAACTAGGAGGTGAGGCAAGCAGCTGAAAGTGAAGCAGGATGTTCAACCCCAGACCATATCATTTCCTTCAGCTAAATCTTTCGCAAGCTCTCAGAGCAGATGTAAAGCCAGCAGGCCCTGGCTCCCAAGCACGTCACATCCCACTCCATCAGAGCCAAGCTCAGGCCAGCTGCAGAAGTGGACTGAAGTACTTGTACCCTCCACGACCAAGTCACTTAGGCCATGGGGAAGAGTTTGGGCCCTCGCTGAAGTACCAGCCAAAACTGCAATCCAGCTTTCCAGATATCTCAGGATACCTCAGGATAGAGAGTTTGCTTGGGAGGGATGGCTGCCTTTCCCTAGGGCTGTGAGGATCAGGGCCCGTGCTCAGACTCACCTGGAGCTCCCTGCTGTGGGCTTCTTAAGTCCCAATTCTTCACACTGTGCCTCGTATATCTGATTCATAGTGCTGTTCCCCAGCTCACACATCAGCTGTGATGAAAGAATTAAACTGTCAGATGAAGAGTTACCTTCCAATTTATTCCTGCAAGTAAGACTGCCTTGCACAGCACCCTGTAACTGCTGCCAGTAAAAGCCAACACTCACTTTCAGTAATTCTGGCTCCCAGGAGTCCAGYGTGAGAGATCGGACTTTGGAGCAGTGAACACCCAGACTCCTATTTGTCCAAAAAAGGAAGAAACAGAAATGGTTACAAGCCTTAAAACAAAACTGCTTATGAATCACAAGACAGAAAAAAAAAAAGAAAAATAAAAAAAGAAATTCAGTCCTGTTTTTGAGCCCTTTCAGTGTTGGTTTCATCCGAGGTGTCTAGCTGGCAGCGCACATGCAGTACCTGTGGATACCAGAGCACTCGATGCACAGGAGAATGCCCAGGTTGATGCTGGCCCAGCGGGGATCGGGCTGCCCGCAGTCACAGCACTGGTCGTTCCCTGGGATGCTCTGAACTCTCTGCAGGATGGTCTCCCCTTTCACACTGCGCTCCCTGGAGTCAGTAGCCGAATCGATGCTGCTGGTGGATGGGGACGCAGTCCGATCCAGCCTCTGCAGGGAGAAAAGGATTCTAGGATTTGCAGAGTACTGTGGAAGGAGTCGGAACTTCATGTGACACAGGTGGGAAGCATTAGCTGAGGAAGAATGAACTAGTGCTGGTCTGAGAAGGAAGAGGGTAAAGCCTCGCTAAACTCTGAGCAACATCRGGAACAAGAGGGCCAGGACATCACTTTAATGGGCTCCTCCAGGCTGCCAGGAGATGGTGCTTCCTCCTGTCCCTCTCCAGGAGGGCAGGCAGCCCAGAGCACCACCAGCTCCCAGCCAGGACACCCAGGGCCTTGCACCTGGCCCAGCAAGACAGCAAGCAGGGGAGCACCCCTGCCAACAGGAATTCAGAGCGGCACAGCAAGGAGGCGAGGATGTCAGGACAACGCTGATTTAAAGCCTTCCCTTTGCTCCTGACAGCTCGTTCCTTTGAGCTAGCACTGCCATCACCCCCCTACCCTGAGGGCAAAGAGTATTTCCAGCCAGCCCAGCCACCCGCACTGGCCTCATCAACCCAGAAGCTCGTGCCCAGGCTCCAGGATGGGAGCAGGGCTCTCCACTCACTTCGATGTAGTAGCTGTCAGGACTCTCCCGGTAAGCAGAGGCAATGCTGGCTTGAACAGCCTGAATCCAGGCCTGGCGCAGCTTCTCCGAGTCGGCCTGCAGCATGCAGCTCCTGCGAGAGAAAGGGGCGAGCTGGAAGAGAAGTGCCACGAGCAGACTGTCCCGCTTGATCTTCAGCAAAGCCTTTCCAAGGGCACAAAGCTTTGATTTAACAGGCAAAAAGGGGCAAAAAATAATAAGACTTGCRCTATAGTGGTACTTCCTCCTCAAAAACTCCAGGCATGCTTGCCAGCCATTTTAAAAAGCTGACCATTGCTAACTTTCCTACCTAAGCATGTATTAGGTTTGGGGGGCCCCAACTTCTGACTTGGCGTCTGCTGAACCTCATGGGAGGCCTGAAACACAGGCAGCAGTATCAGTGAACACCGAGGAGCCCAGGGTAGCATCTGCTTGAATCTAATCTCTTGCAATTCCATGCACAGTCCAGCTCTTGTGAGGAGGGCCTGGAAAAACTACCAAACTTACTTGGTAGGTGAGACAACCTCAAAGCAAAACCTCCTCTCTATATCTTCGCATGGCTTGACGGTACAGAGCCGCAGGTCTTCCACCACTACTGTGAGGACATCCTGAAGGAGAGAGAAGAGGTGGCTTAGACCCGCTCCCTGAATCCATTTCATAATCTGCCTTCCCAGAAAATTCCTCCCCAAATCCTGCTGTTTAGCAAATAACGGGGCCAGGAAGAAGACGGACAGCCATGGGATAACTCCAAAGCAATGGGAATGTGTGATGTGGGATGGGACAACAAGCAGCTGAAATGACAGGTTTAYTGGGAACTTCAACTTCTGCTAAGCAGCAGTGCTTAGATCTCTACAGAAACCATCACCACCACTCCCTTCTAGCATGGCCTGGCTTTACAGAGCAGTAGCACCCAAATAGGCTTGATGTCCCTCTGATCCAACCCTTCCTTCTCCCCAACGCAGGACAGGAGGACACCRGAGAAGTTGGCTGAGCTGCCAAGAGCGAGGCCTCTTCACTCACCTTTAACTTCTTCTGGTACACCAGCTGGCTGTTCTGTATGGAGAACCACCTCCTGAGGGGACAGAGGAAGGCAGAACGGCAGAGATCAGAGCATATGAATAGCAAGAGAGCTATAGGGGGAGAGGCAGCTCCCCTTCCCCGCAGAACAGGGTATTTCTGCATTTACAGAGAGTGTCATTTATTTCGGGAAGCAAGAAAAATACTAATGTAGGAGGAAAAGTTCACTCTTTCAGCGTTCTCCTTCAGAGGATAAACACAGCATTTACAGCCCTAAGGAATAACCTCTTTTAGCACTGAGATGCTGTGGTGACAAGTGTCCTAGAAACGTCAGYGCATATGAAAACAGGAGGAAGGAAGGAAGAGGAGGAAAAGGGCTCTCCCATATTGCTGCCTGAGACTTGCAGGGCAGAAGGCTGCACGTGTGCCTTGGTCCTGGTGCAGAGAATAAAACCAGCACCTGTGGGACACTGGTTAGGGACACAGCCACAGAGCACAGCCACAGCTYGTGTTTCCTAGAAAGGCTGCGTTCCTTGCACTGGTGCTGCCTGGTGCAGTTTGCCTCCAAGCACCCTGTCCAGGGAGTCCCCAGGTTTCTCCCCATCGCACACAGCAGAGAGAAACCCAAACCCCCTGGTGTCTTCAGTGCTAAATCCAAACCCTTGAGCTGTTTCCTCCTCTTAGGGTACAGCCTAGCATTTAGCACCCTGATTAGAGGGCAACGAAAGCTGTGAGCACCACTAGGCTTTAGAAAGAACGTACTGAAAAAGTCAAGCATGAAGAGCCAAAGGAGGCTTGGAGCAGGCTGTTGTTTACAGCACCTATTGCGTGTTTGGCTTGCAAAGGAGCTGGGCTCCCCGGGAAAACGAGATGAGACAGGACTGTCTATCATCTTCGCTGAGAAAGACAAAAGGCAACAAGAGGAAAGGACTCTGGAGAAGAACACAGGTGACTGGAGGCCATCCCTCCTACATGGGAACCCCTTTGGATCAACTCGTGAACCCATCCAGCCCTGCATCTCTCCGAGCTGCTGGGAGAGCAGCCTGTGCTCAAGGAGCTCTGGTGCCACAYGAAGCCGAGCAGAAGGTTTGTCTCACGTTTGTGCTCCCAATTCCTGCAGCCCTGTTCTCCTGAACTCCTCTGGAATGACCTTTTGCTCTGCAGAGATGCATGGCAGCAGCCATGCGAGAGCACAAGAAACGAGGCCATTCTTTGCCTCAAACACAAGTAGGGTATCCCAAGAGGCTGACAAATTCAGACAAGATTCCTTCTGGTGCAGCAGCTTGTGAGCACTGAAATCAAACACCTGCGCTGGACAGTAGCTGGTGTTGTGGCTTCTGGTTCCTCAAGTGCAGAGATATTACGGAAATGTCAAGGAACCAGAAAGCCTGACGGATGGAAATGTTATGCTCAGCATCAGGCAAAGTTTGGGGAGAAGAAATTATTTACCTAACCAATTCATAGATCTCTACCAATTTCAAGTCTCTTGTCTGCCCAAACACAGGAAGTTTCTGTGCATACCATGGACTGGTGAGTTATTTAACACTTGGTTATTGTGAAGTCCAATACCAGCACATCTCCACCTGGCTGTGGAGCATGCACTGACAGTACCTGACAGCCAAATACAGGATTTCCTAACCCTGTGTCATTTCCCTGTAAAGCCATAGGAGGAAACGCGGGACAAAGAGGCATTGATTTCATGCATTAGAAACTGACTGCAAGGGTTTCGCTCCTTTTAATTGCACAAGCATAAACAAAGCCCATTGACTAAGGAAAATTACACATAAGCATCAAGCAAGACAAGAGCACGAAACCTTTTCTGCTTGCACCTTCCCAAGGTTTCTGAAAGCTGTGGAGCCTCCCAACCAGCACAGAAGGCATAAACGGGTGGGACACATACAAGYCTGGCATTCCCAGTGACGCATCAGCTGAAATATTTATAAGCAGCTAAGAGCAGGCTCATCACACAGAAGAGCCATCTCAGCTCCCCGCAGCATAGTTGATATTTCCACGCATCTCCCCCTTCAAAGACAGATCAGTTTGAGTCTAGCAGCCCTTGGAAACAGGGCCTGTCCTCCTACGTTAGAGGGTTCTCTTGATGGCTACGAATTTACAGCTTCCCCAGGGCAAGACTCCAGCTGCTTTGTGTCCTATTTTCCCTGCACGGAACCTGGTCATTGTTCCATTATGGAAGGCACTCTGAGATGCGTTTTCAAGCATTTACTCAGACAAAGCAAATCGTGGGCTGACTCATTTCATAATGCAGCCTAGGAGCAATAAACCAGCTTGCAAAAAGAAGCAGGCTCCTTTTGGTGCAGAAAAATAATTATCACTTATATAAAATACAAAGCAATGGGCTCTTTTACTGAATACTCTTGCACGCCAGTATGAGAACACTGCACAGTGAGTGGCATCACCAGTCCCTAAAAGAAAAGTTTCTTTATACAGGAAGCTATCAAAATAACCTCCCTCAACTATTTATTTTGGAATCCAGTGACAATAACAGTTACTGAGATCTTAGCAAAGGTGAAAGGCATCCTTGCGCTGGCATCCCTGCAACAGCGACCTTCAGAGCCTTGGACAGGTATTACTAGGATGTGAATTATTATTACTCACCGATTCCACGTCTTGAAAGCGTTGCTAGCTCTCTTGAAGAGGTAGCCTTCCATCACCACTCCATTGGGGGCATCAACATTAAACTCCACCTTTGAGTCATCATAGGAGAAATCCTGCAGATAAGAAGAGACTGAGACTCAGAAAGCAGTGCTCTTCAGGACCGAGATATCTACAAGCCTAGGGAAAGCCTCAAGAGAAGCACAACATCTCTACAGAGACCCTAGAGCCTGGGCACAGCCATGTACCTTCAGGCTGCAGCCAAAAGCACCTGTGAGGAATATTCCTCTCTCTAGCAAGCTCTTCTGTCCACATTGTTCGGAGAAAATCCAACATGTGCCAAATACTTCAAGTGGCAGCTGATAAAGATCAAGGCAGTTCACTTAGTAACTTGAAAGTAGAAGTTCTCAATCTTCAGGGCAGTCTTCAATGTGCAGTAAACTGATGGAAATGCTTTCCAGTGATCAATGAGTTTGCACTACTGCTGCCTGTGTTCTGCGTGGGACCAAGAACAGACCCAACCTCGGCCTTTTCACCCAAGGAAAACAGGCAGGATGCTTTCCAGCAGGGAAGCAAGATTTATCCATGCAATCTTCATCAGTTGTCATCACGTGCCATGTCCAGTCTGTGCTCAGTCACTTCTCTGTGCTAACCATGCTCTGMTATTCTACCAGTCAGAGATGATTTTGCTGGGTTTGGGCTGCTTCACTGGATAAATGGCATGGATTCTGACAGCTGGCACACAGGACATGGCTCAGAAGAGCAGCTGCTCCACAGAACATGGGATTCTTCTTCCAGGGCACTGATCTGCCTCCTTCCCAAGAGAAACTAGGTCATGAAGCTCGCAGGACTTCCCCTTTTAACCTGGAGAACTAAGGCCTTTGCTCTCTTTGCACACTCATTTCACAGTGATGATGTATTCTACCAACATCTCTCTCTTTTTGAGAGCAAATTTTTTCTCCTGCAACATTCAAAGCCCCAAGAGCAGAGCGAAGAGCAACCCCATTAACATAAGTGCCTTTTGCAGCGCAGCACACGAAGACTTGTGCGATGCTCTGCTGCTAGGCAACATGCACTTCACTCTCATTAAGATGAGTTATTTTCATGTTCAGAGATGCCAGCTTGTCTGGGAGGTGTCATAATAATTCTGATAGCAAAGGAGGAGATATAATGGGACAGGACTGAGTCATTCCTTGCAAAGGCTGCGYGATGCCCAATTAGGCACTGGAAACCCCGCTGCAAGGCATCTCATTAAGAGGGGTCTGTGCAGCCCCAAGTCCTCTTGCCAGAGGAGGGGTAAATCCCATGGGGTCTCCTCTGCAGATGTCTTTCACGCACATATTGCAAAGGCTAGAGGGAATTCTCCCAACTTGCAGCCACTTGAACCCAACTTCGGAATAGCTGCTCCAAAATAACGCTCTATAAATGAGATTAGCGTCCACACTGTTTTATTGTGAATATAAACATCTAAATAAGGGTTTCCTTGAAAAGTACACAGCAAAGGGAGAACCCTTCCAAGCACTTTTTCAAGAAGATAACTCAGCTGTACCTCAGTTTGTGGAAAAGGGAGAGGGCACACACAAAGTATAACAGCATACTAAGTATATACTAAGTATATCAGCAGGATTTCTTCAGCTGTCCTCATAGGAACAGGCGGTGTGATGGCAAGGAAGATGCGTTGCTGCTGCTGCTGGATGCAGACTCACCCCATGCATCATTGGGATAAAAAGTACCTGCAGTCAAGGCAGGTGTTAACTTGGGTTAAGGCCATAGTGGGGCGAAGGACCCCAGGCTGGAGACTTTCAAACTAGCAAGTGAAAAGCAAAAACGTAACAGGGGGCACAACAGACACAAAGGGATATATGAAAGGAACAAAGCAAACACCCCTCCCTATTTAAAGGTTGCCTCCAGGGYCCTTCTGTTGAGAAGCCCCTTGTTGCAATTTCCATGCATTTCTGGCCTTATCCAGGAGTGGCCTCTTTGCTTGCAGAACAAAACAGTGATACTCACTACTTAGTATTAGGTGCACAGTCATAACAACATGTACACATGTGCATGTAGAAAAAACACCTCACAGATTAGACACAAGCTGTGATTAATTCAGCTATRTTAAAATAACATCATTCAGAGAAATATTCACATTGTTATAGATGCACATGCACCTCTTTTATGCAAACACCGATGGATGCACCTCCCGTCCTCTCCTGGTGCCCCCAAATCCCATTTACAGACCTACTGTTCCTTAAACAGCCTAAAGCCGYGCAATCCCTCCGCTCTGCAGCCTGCGAGCCGGAGATGCTCAGAGATGTGGGCTCTGCCCCAGGGCTTTGCCATCCCACACACACAACCAAAACACATTTGCTCTCCGGCAGCAATAAATCTAGACTCGCTCTTGGCTCTATCAGCAAGCAGGCTCCTGCAGACACACCTGGTACCCCCAGGAAAAAGAAATGCCCACTGAATTTTCTCCCCAGGCTGGACCCACCTTGCAGGGATTTCTCCTTACCGGGAGGTACTCAAGCCTGCCAAAAATCCTCATGCTGCCAGTGAGGGAACTCCTGCTGCTCTTGCCCAGACAGCAGCTCTGTGTCCTCTCCTCTTGCTTCGCTCTCCAGAGCCTCTCTGCTAAGCACCGTGGGCTGGCAGGGAAGGAGGGATTTCTTTTTCAGCCCCTTCTTTACCCTCCTCCTACTCCTTTTTGGGGAACTGTAAGCTCTGCTGTTGGTTCCTGTCAGCGTGAGGGACACTACGGGAAGGCTGCTGCCTCTGGGGACCACCTGCTTGTCCCCTCCTCGTGCCTCCTATTCACAGTCAATCAGCTTAGAGCAAGGACTAATTATCATACAGCTGTCACGGATGGGCAGAGGGAGCGGGAGAAGCCGGAGAAGGGAAAGCAAAGCTGACAGGAGGATGCTCAGCCAGGGCCCCCTGACCCCAACAGTCAGGCGTGGCTGCCCTTAGCAGGGTCTCCCCTGGCCCATGTGTGGCCACACTCCAAGAAGCCAATAACTCAACCTCTGCTCTGATACCAACACAGAAACAGGGGTGCTGCAGAGCCATATGGCCCCAGGTTGTTATTTACCAGCTAGGCTAAGTGAGACGGAGAGCTTTGCCTTGGCACTCCATCCTCCTGCCTTCCCACGCAGCCAGGGATAGAGGCACAAGCTCCCTCCGCTCCTCCGGAGCAGGTAGGAAGCTGCAAAGGAAATTATATATAGCCCTGTATTCTTGCACTTTCAGACAGACTGGTCTCCCAGACTAGATGAAGTAGATGGATTCAGAAAGGTCAGAATCTGGAAGGGAAGACTAGCTTAAATGTTATCTATTCCCTTCTTGCAGGGAGTTGAAAAGCTTCCTTGGCCCACGTATTCCAGAAGAGAATCCTCCAGAATTTCTCCTAAGTGGGCCAACCTACTTCTGTGTGTCTGTGCACATTCAGCTGAAGCAATCTGGTCCATCCATAAGAAAACATGTGAACTCCCCCACACTGAGCACACTTCCAAATAAAAATCTACCGTTTCAAAGAGGATCCCCTCCCTTTGTGTCAGGCCTCAGCAGGCTGGTTGGGAAGACATCGAGTTGAGGATAAAAGACACTTATATTACTCTTATGTCCAGTGGGCAAAGCCATGAAATGCATTGCACTGTGGAGAGCCTCCGTGTTTCCTCAGATGAAGTCATCAGTCCAGTGGAGCTCCCCTGGGGACCGATACTGATGGCTCACAAATGGATTTTCCAACCCTCCGAACACTTAAGGGGGGCACATGCACAGGCCAACTCCCAGCAAGTGTCTGTCATAAGMTCTCAAGTTACATTTCCATTTCATGAGATGGGGCATTTTGGAGAGRCAGCATTAGAAAGGGCCACTCGTTTTCATCATATGGATTAATGTCAGTTCACACAAATGCCTGCCAGATGGCTTGGGTCCTGAATGCCTATTTATTTTGGCTCTCAGAAAGTCCCTCTTATTGTGGCTGGTGCATGGAGATGTTCTGGCAGATGCAAAARCAGAGGACGGCAGGGGAAGCTTGGGTCAACAGACTTGCTTTTGAAGGCGGGACTTCAAGCGAAGATCCAAAGCAGCAAAGCACTTTGGATCTTTACTTGATTGAGAAATGAAAAAAGGAAACACATGTGGGTACTCACCTGCAGGAGTGTCTGCAAGGGCAGATGAACAACCCATGGAAAAAAAGAGAAAGAAAAGAAGAAAAAGAAATTAGTCAATGTTTCTACAAAAATGAGACATGGAATCATCCCCAAATGACAGGTCCAGAAAGCAGAGATCTTGCTAARMCAAGTTGCTTCCCTACTGAAGGSTCAAACTTTTCTGACAATCATTTCACAATTCTATGAAATGCAGAGGCAGCGAGTTATCCTGGTTGGCAGGAGCYCTACGGCTTGGGACCCCACAGACCTTCCGCAGCTGCTCAGGCCTGCGGCCGTGTCGCATCACCTTAAGAAAGGATCATCCAGGCTGCAGCTTGGAGCAGACTTGCACAGAAGSAGTTCATTGCAACGTGCTTCTCCCTCAGTGCCAGCATTGAGCCCTGTCTTCCCCTCACAACCTGTTAACATAACTCAGTGCAGCGGGAGCTGCCTGTGAATAGGGGAAAAAAAAAAAGAGGCCCTGCAGCAAATCCTGCCTCTGGGGACCAGAGGAGCACGTCCATTCATCTGCCTGCTAGGTGACTTCACAGAGGCTGGGCCATCTGTAAGCCTGACTGGCCAGATGTGTGAGCAGAGAGAAGTGTCAGAGGGAATATGCTCATTCTGTAGCAGCTGGAGATCATGGGGCTTGCTACACGAGTCGGCTTGCTCAGCCAGCAGAAGGATGCGAGACAGTAAAGGAGAGAAAAGGAGAAAGGGTGGGAGGGAACTGCAGCGATCACAGGCCTCCCTGTATCCCTCTCCCTTGTGTACTGGCACGTGTCAGTTGCTGAATGCTCTGCACTTGATCAAACCTACCTGCCAGATAGGCTCCCAGACAGCAATGCCCTTGGCTATGGACTGTGCAGCATTTAACCAAACCATCACCTGGTTATCGTATCTATCTCAGTAACTTCTGACTTCAGGCTGTGAAGGGCTGCCCCAGYGAGGCTCCTCATCAGATGGTAGATTTGCCATTCCCATCCTGATGAGAAGTGCTGCTTGGTCAAACTGTGACCCAGGACTCACCCTCTGCTGTATCAAAGCGTGCTTGTGCTCCATCTCCCTCTTCTCCACTGCAGAGTCGATCACCAGCTGGTCCAGCTACAGAAAGGGAGAAGAACATCAGGTAGAAAAGCCAGGAAGGAGGTTTAAGCAGCACTGTCCAGCTCTGCTTCCCCGAGTTGTGATTACACCAGTGCAGGGCTTTGTGTACCACTCCCTGATAATCAAGTGTGGAAGCTGAACAGGAATGGGGAGGCCCTTTTTGGACAAAGGAGAGCAGAAGAAAGGACAAAAGGAACTAAGTCTCCCCCATCCCCTTACCTCTGTAGCGAGTTTCTTCATGTAGGGATCCAGTTCATGGAGAAGACTGTAGCCCTGCTGGAAAAAGGTGTACTGGGCATGCATGAAGGACAGCATCTGGGGAGGGAAAGAAAAGMCAAGTCAGAACAGGCCCCGAGACAACTACGCGTGAAAGGCACTTCACCTATTATTCCTCATAAATGKGTCCCCTCAAGGTCCCCTCTACAACATCCCTTCCCAGGGCAACCTACCCATTCACCGCCTCTCCCTCATCTCTCCTTTCCTCCTCCCACAAATCTTCCTGCAATGTCAAGCAATCCTGTAATGAGTACAAAGCACTAAGAGCATCAGTTTCCTTCAACTCTGAAATTCCCTTCTGGTTCTGGCCAGCAGAGTGTCTTAATACTCCCCTCCTGTTAGCATATCTGCATCCCCCAGGGCAGTCCCAACAGTGTCCCCAGGGAGAGGCATCAGGATGGCAACCTCAAGGGGAAGCCTTTAACAGGCCACAAGAAACAGCGAGCTCTTACCGCATCCAGGATTTCAAACTTCTTCTTGGCCTGCAGAACATTAATCTGTGAAGGGATCGAGACAAGACTGTCAGCATCAGCGAGCAATCCAGCACAGAGATCTGCACGTGAACAACTTGCTGCAATGCCCCTACCAGCAAACCACAGACTGCGCAGAGACACAGCTCCAGAGAAGATTCTGGAGAAAGGTTCTAGAAAGAGCTCTAACAAGTTCTGCACAGTTCTACCACACSAGCTTCAGGTCTCTGGACAAAGCTGAAGGTGAAGGTAAGTTCTGCAAGGTGGGAAAGAAGCAACAGTTTTGTTGCTTCAGTTAACCGGTGTGCAAACCTCCAGCCAACCTTGGTGGCTTCAGGGTCTCTCTTATACCAGTCCCAAGAACTTCCCACCATCAGAGACAGAGGGCCAAGTGCTCAAAATGTTAATAACTCACTGCCCTTCTGAGCCTAGCTGTAAATGTCTATTTGCTCTCATTCATCAACGATCTTCATTCTCTGCTGTGGATTATTTGGCATTTTGCTCTTTTGTTCTGTACTGGGAGAAGAAGCGAGAACTGGAGGCTCAGACACCCACCTGTAACACATAGTCTAGGGCCAGATGCCGGAAGCACTTTCTGGTGATGGTCAGGGTGCCCGTGGCCTCCTCTACTTCATGAGGTTTGTGCCGAGGTGCCTGGGCATTCTTCACCAGGGAAATCTCCATGTCCTCTCTCACCTTGTCGAACTGCTTCTTGGTTTCCTTGAACTTCCGCACATCACTGAAACCCAACAGAACAGAGATGATGATGAGATKATGGGAAATCTATGGGATTCTATGATGAGATGATGGGGACCAACATCTGGAGCAGCCAGAACATCACTGATCAGTGCAGAAAGAGAGGTGGAGCCAGGTACACTACGATCCCTCAGAGGACCTGGTGCAAATGTCAGTGATATCCTAACTCTACTCAGCGATATMCTGACCCTACCAACCTCTACTGTACCCGTACTTACGCATTCTGCCTTGAATGCGTAAGGAAACTAAGGAAACTCTCCATGAACCATATCAGGGATCTGCTTTGCAGGAAGGAGGCTACAAAAACATAGAACAAGGGCCTGGCCCCATCTCCTCAAAGCTGCGAGGGAAGTGAAAGTAACTAAACGAAGGTGCTTTGCGTTTACTCGCATGTCACGCACTATGGCAGTAAGCTGATGCAGATACCACCTCAACACGTCTACTCCGCTTCTTCTGAAGCTAATTGAATGGAACAGGGAGCAGCTTTGGCACCATTCACAGACCATCTTTAAGTCATGCAGGGCTGTCTGGCTTCAATTTATTTATTATGCCTGAATTAAATTGAAGTAGTTCAGGAAAGGCTGCTCAGCTCTGCCTCTTCTGGCATCTCTCTGCTTGGCAGTTCAGTACCAAGGAAAGGGGCTGAATGTCTGCACGGGATAAGTCACTGCTTTCAGCTGCCCCACTCGGATCTGCCACAACCCAGAAGCAAACACTTATTGCTCACTCAGAGGGGAGCTCTGCTGATCTCCCTCAATTGTAAGTTGTTCTGCGTTACAAAGAAGTTCAAAACTGTCAGCAAATAAACAGCAGCCACTAATGCTTTGGTGCAGGACAGATGAAACTCTTTAGCTGAGTGTGTCAGCAATCAGACCGTAAAAACCTCCTGGCAAACAGCCYGAAGTTACACGTGCTGATGTAGGGACCAGCCTCTGGTCTAGCCTCTCCCATGGGCAGGTACAGCAAGGTTAAAAGAAAATAGATGTGACGAGACTGCAGTCCTGGAAGAAGTCGCTTCTTCACGGTGCCAGCGCACAGGGCTCCTCGTGACAGGAACCACCCAGATCACTAGCAGGAAGATAAGGAGCTTGGGCACTTCTTTGTTCAAGTCTCAGGTCCCTTGTAGCTCAGGGATGTGAGGGTTTCATGTGGCTTTCCATCCTGCCTGGTGGGGAATAAATCCCTCATTTCTTTATATCTCCAGTGGAAAGAATACCACAGAAGTGTATTGGGTAGAAACCTTCAGGGCCTGGGGACCGGTTAGAGACTGAACACCCCTGTCAGATATGCATGAAACGCCATATAGGGCATCGTTACTGATGTTCTTTTGTCCCCACTGTCGGTTGCGGATGTGGCCCTGGGCAGATTATTCCAAACAGTGCCAAGCACAGAAATTGTTTCCAAACTAAGAGTAAAAGCACTGCAAAGATCAAAGCGCCAGGGCATGAAAACGCGGGGGCTGAGCAGTATGAGCGCAAAGAGGACGACATCAAAGGTGTTAGAAGGATGACAGGCCCAAAATGAATGTGAAATTCCCGCTCCAACTGCCAGGACTTAAGCAGATTAGATCTGAGCTCATCAGAGAAATGATTAGAGAGCAAGTGGGTGCAGAACCAGGCAGGCAGGAGGATGAGGAAGGGGGTAGGGGGGTCAGCTAGGGACTCCCTCACACCAAACCACCCAGCTGGGAGGATTCACAGGCAATTGCCGGTTCCCATGGCAACCGGCCGGGCTGAGCCACGGGCCTCGGTCGCCTCTCTGACCTACATTCGCTTGAGTTGGGCTCTCACGCTGCACTAGGTACCTGCCCCGGGGAAACAGGCGCTTGGAGCAAGCGGAGCTGACGGGAGGCGCCCACGGAGGCGGCCGGGAAGCTGCTCTCCCATCTCTGCTGAAGGGATGGATCAAACCAGGCTGCCTTTGATCCAAGGTTCAGACTGTCCCCATCCGAGCGGCTTCCSGAGCCTGGTTCTGCTCCATGCCAGGCCCGCCCTGTTAACATCCTTYGGCATCCAAAGTTAACATCCTTGCAACGATTTTCTGGATCCTGAAGTCAGTCGCCAGGAAAGCTCCTCCTCTCTGCAAGCAGGCGMTAAACCCTAAGCAAAATCTGCATCTAACATAAGGCGTGAGCAGTATCCAAGCCTGGCTCAGCTCAAAAGTCTTTACTGATCCTGCTCTGGAATGCGTTTGATTTCTAAATTCAACAGAGGAACCTTATTAAACCTGAAATTTTGCCCYATGGCCAGATTTAAGAAAAAATTCGAAACAGGATCAAGACCCCTGACTGACAACAGAGCAATCAAAGAGGCAAGAGGACAGCAATGGCCATTGCACAAACCTGACCTTGCCTCTGCCCTCAGCRTCTCTTTTGCTCCAGGCAGAGCTTTGCCTGGGTTACATGGAGACTGCAGCTCTTTTCCAGTGTGGACAGAGGCAACGGAGGTTCGAGAGGATGAAAACTAGTCTGAAAAGGCAAGTACTCACTCTTTCACAAAATTGTGTAGTTGCTGCCGGACTGACCTCTGAGCCTGGTCAAACAGGATCTGGAAGAAAAGACAGAAACCATCCAGTACGTAAACATTTGGGAGTCAGAAAATCTACGATTGCTCTCCAGGATCCTAAGTGCAGGGACTCGGCATCCCCCCAGCCTTGTTGGTGCCCTCTGCTCGATGCCCTCGCAGTGATTTGAGCTTCCCCCCCGAGCAGCGCTGCCTCCCAGGGCAGGGCTCCCTCGGCCCGTGCCAGGCCCTGCTCAGCCCCGAGGGGCCTGTGCTGCAGACCGACTTCCATTAGCGAGTTCTTGTAGGAGCAGGTGCCTTCCCAGCCCCTTTCCAGTCCCATCCCTCCATTTTCTCCTTTCGCCAGAGGAGGGCACTGTCCCTGCAACGCTGAGGACTGGAACACCTCCTAGGGTACATCAGAGCCGGCCCCAATATCTCAAAATATTTCTGCAAACCTCTGCCTATTAAGGGCTGTGTCCACCTGCCCAGTATAACACACAAACCTGCATGGGAGAGGGGTTCYACCTTCAGCATCAAAACACTGTGCTTTTTTGTTACCAAGCATACAGCAGAAAGAGTTCCTAACAACCATTTCAACTTCATGCTCCCATCCACCCTCCCCACCAAAAGAAAGCCCCAGCTCCATTTCTGGATACTCCATCACCTCTGGCTCTCATCATCATCCTTTGAAAGGCATYCCCCCTCTGCCAGAGACCCCAACAGCAGTGTTCGCTTCCCTCCCATCCCTCTCTGATGGCCATGACCACAAATAACTCCACGTTTGAGCCGTGTCCTGGGATGACAGAGCCCTTCAGCTAATTGGGACCAGATGGAAAGAGGCTCCCAGGCCACAGACCCCGGGTCATTCCCCTCCCRGAAGCGCCAGGCACTGGCCCAAGACACAACGATGCCCTGCGGCAYCGCAGAGCTGAGCTCTGACCGACCGCAGCTCTTTGGCACCAGGAGCTCTGCTTCCTTTGCTCCAGCCTAACCCTGCACCTTCAGGCTACTGATTTAACCCAAAGAGCTCCTGGAAACACAACTGTGACCAGTACAGACAGGGACGCCCTCCCTAGCTGACATCTTCCAACTGGATGGATGCAGGTCACACTCTTGACACTATGTGGTTCTACTAGAAGACTATGTAGTTTCCACTTGTACCTCCATCTGCAGAGTTTCCGTTGTTGGTTTCCATCTCAAAGCAAACTAAGAGGAATATTAAGAGCTAGAACTTTAAATACAGAGTTCTTCCCTGGCTTTCTCTCCTTTCCCAGACATGCTTGGGATAAATCATTTGGGTTAACGTTGTCCAGACCAAATATCACCCCACCCTCTCTCTTAGCCGCCACCAGGGCAAGATGAGTCCAGCCTGTGAGTCACATCCGCACATGAGCAGGGGGGAACACAGCTCCCACCCAACAACAGCAAACGGCTGGATCCTACATTTCACTTCCTCAGCATAAGCTCCTGAGGCCACTGGATACAGCTCAAAACTGGATTTGTCAGGGAAGGAGGGATTTCTCATCCCTGCAAAATCAGAGAGATCAGTGGAGCAGAATTCTGCTCCTGCAGTGCAACCCTGGCACAGGACACATCCAAAGAGAAGCAAATGCTACAACATTCCCACCATCTTCCTCCAAGAGAAAGGGGCTCCTACCAGGCTGCAAGGCAAAGCAGGAGCTAAGGCAAGATGAGATGCCCACCAGGGACTGTTCCACTCATCACTTACCCACACATAGTTCCAAAGGGGGAAATCAGAGCTACACATTGGGAGAGGGTTGGCTAGAAACACCCATCAGATTGAGACATTCATAGTAGCAATAATCAGGGAGCAGGAGCATCCAGCCAGCCTGAGCTTAAATGGCCTCTTGGGCTCAYGCTAGAGGGTGTGGGTGGAGGCCCCAGGTGAGGCTGCTCAGGGCCTCTTTGTGCTCTCAGGCCCTGACACCAACATCCCAAGATGAGATCAGGACCACCTGAGAGAACGAGCTGTTCKGCTGAGTCCCCCTGATGATGGCGGGTGTGGAGCTTCACTTGCAGCTGCCTCACATGAGGACAAACTCACCCTCTTTCTTTCCTTCTGGCCCTTCTTTCTCTTCTCTTCAACCACCTCTCCCGCTGAAGAGCTGCAAAGAACTTTCCTGTTTCCAACTCTTTCCCAGCTGAGCCAGGGTGTGTCTCATAGAGCCTTGGAAAGAGGATGCAAACATCACCGTGCCTGTTCCAGGGGCAAAACAGGACTCCACAGTGCCAGTGTATGCCATGTTTTTCACGGATTTCAGATTCCTGCAGTTTTCTTCCCTCCCAGTGCAGCTTCCACCAGCTGAACGTAGCAACTTCACTGGCCAGATGGCCAGGCAGAATTTGAGCATCTTGTGTCTGGCAGGGGATGCTCAAAGGCCTGTTATTCCTGGCTGGCTATGTGATTTAGTCCTAAATTGCTTGAGAAATGGCACATCAGATAAATACCACCCATGAGTAGCATTACATTCACGGCAAGCTCACCTGAAAGATTGTACCCTGGAAAACAAACCAAAACTGCTCCTTACATTAAACCTATAGGGCGGCAGGATAGTGTAACTTCAAAACCACGCTTTTCTCCTGAAAAATTCAAGAGCCCTGGTACATGCTTCAGTTCAAACAGGCTCAGACTCAATCAGACCTTGATTTTAAGGAGGGTGTTTGTATTTGGGAGAGAAAGATGGGAGCAAGCAAGCAGAGGTTGATGCTGACAGCATAGCATCTGTTTGATGAACAAGTAGCACTTGCAGCACAGAGCGTCTTGGCAGGCCACGGTCAAAATTAATTCACTCCAATGCGGTAGGTGGAGAGGAGAAGTCATCGTGGGGAGGCCCGTGAGCAAAATTGCAGTTCATGCCACTCAGGCTCAGGTGAAACGAAGCGCCAAGCTGTGGTTGCTGCAGGGCTCTAGCATCCCAATCTGCCACCCACTGCTCCAAGGTCTTCTGGAGGCAGCTGGGAGTTTGCAGCAGCCCAAGCAGAGCAGGGAGGCCTGAGGAGGTGACGTGACACAGCATCCGTCCTGGGCTGCACCGACTGTTCCTCCCATCGGCCAGGGAGTTGCTGCAAAGTGCTGGCTCCTTCTGTGTTGAGACACAGGCTCTTGCAAGGGAGAAGAGTGATGAAACAGAACAGAACTAGCAAGGGGGCAAACTGCAACACTGCTGGGAGGGCAGTGCCCTGGAGGGGACATTCGCGTGAGCAAAGATTTCCAGGACACACCTCTGAACGCAGCTCTGTTTGCTAAGCAGGCTGCTGGCTGTGGTTGAAATCCTCTCCTGAGACTGTTCCTTGGAACAGGGTTGTTCACTCRCAGAGAGCCAGAGGACACCGAGCCCAGCTCTTCTGAACTCGGCTTTCTCTTTTGTCAGCTGTCTCTCCAGTGCTGTTTTACTTTTTTGTCCCTGTGCATCCAAAGAAAAGTGAAAATGCTCTGCAGCTTGGTGTGTTCATGGTCTGTGTGCAGGACAGTGTGTTATATTGGGATTTTGTAGGGCTGAAATAGAAGCAGGAATGTCTTCTAGCCCGGTGCTCTAGCAGCAAAATTAAAGAACAAGTTTTTCCAACTCATTTTTGGTCCGTTTTCCTTTCTTTTTAACTTGTTCCAGCTGTACATACGGCCCTGGCTGCACGCCTGGAGTGAGCACTGACAACTGCTTCATAGCTGAGATGCTCAGACACGACGAGCCAAGCTACGCCTGCACACACACAAATACACCCCTCTCCCCAAGGAAGCCAGCAGCAGCCCCCCAAAATAACCTGCTCCTTGCACAGCTCTCAGAGATGCTGCAGTCGCTCCAGAGCCTTTCCTGGAGCGGCACTTGCACCGCTCTGCAGTTAGGGAAGAGGGTGCTCTCAGAAAGCCCCAAAACAGAGGGGTTTTAATCATTTTTCCCCATGGGTATGAGGCTGGTGGTAGCAAAATACTGTCTTTGACAGCTTGTGGGGAGGAGCTCACGCCTGCTGAACAAGGGGGGTTGCGTGGGAAGGGTTTTACTAGGTCTGCTGGGGATGTGGCAGCTCTGGGAAGGGATCTTCTGCGGGTTAGTTGGCTAAGACAAGAATGATGCCAGGAGTGCCGTTTTTGGCAGAGAACAGGGACGCAGAGGAAGCTGCAGGGAGCTGGGGGACCCCGGAGCTTTCCGGCTGGGACAGCTTCCTTGGAGCTGGCCCTACCCGCACAGACATCATGCRATCCTGGAAATGGAAGGGTAACCTCTGGGGGCTTCACATGCTCCTGAGCAGAAAGACCTTACGTTTTCAGAGGGAGCTTTAGCTGCTTCAAAGAACTAGGACTTGGTTTTCTCTGCGCTGACATAAACACCTTTTCCTGCATCATCCCATTGATTGTCCAGGCTCCCCCCTGCACCACCAACCCTGCACAGCAGTTTGTTTCCAAATACCAACAGTCCTCGGAGGGATGGATGCATCGAGCCTCTTTTCCCTGTCATTTTCCACCAGGAGGGAGCTCTTCCTACCTGCTTCATGAAGTAATTAAATGGATGTGATGCAGCTTTTTCTCCAACTGCACACGGTTARCTTCAAAGTAACATTCATGCCTAATACACTGTGACAAGGGCATCGTGCCATAAAAGTGGGTCACTCCAGCACCAACACTCTGCAGCTTCCTTCACTTGGRAGTATTTGTATCTTCTTTGAATTTCAGACCTAAAAAACATGGATCCACCAACACAAAGCACCTTCCTCTTCTATGAGCTTTATGCTGTGTTTTGGGATGGGAAAAAAGGGTAGGTTCTCACTCCTTGGGCTCTGTTAGTGAGGTCAGGAGAACAGCTCCTGTCTGCGTATTTCCCTTCTCTCATCTTACTATAGCATTAATTTRGTCTGCGTTGTCCTTAAACAGAGACCCGCAAACAAGCCTCCAAATCTGCTCACAGGCTCCGCTCCATCAAAGCAGCCTGTTCGTTTTGATTCACTCAGACTCCTTCGTGTCCCAATGGCACAACTCTGCGTGCCAGGCACACGAGGGTACTTCACACCCAGATATGTTACACACGCAAGCAGTTCCTGCCCCAAGTCCCGACCAGGAGAGCTGCTCAGGACCCTGTCTGTCCCCATGGCACCAGTCTTCCAAAAGGAAGAACAAGCCATATGGGATGCAGAGCTGCACGAGCTCCTCCTTTGGGAGAGGGGCTCTAATCTCAGCCCTCTGCATGTTGGCTGCACCTCTCTGAGCTGAAACAAGCCAGAAGACACCCATGCAGCCCACCTGGCACCCCCTCTGCCCTAGAAATCCCATTTGCTGGTGTTCATGGCGCATTATCTCTGACCACCGTGAGTACCAGTGAGCTGTAACAGGCTCACAATTCACCCCGTTCAACAGATTAAAGAAATAAAAACCTTTGCAAAAGGCACCAGTTCCCCATTGTGGCTCCCTTGGCTACCCAGCACACAGYGGCTGTAATCTGCAGGCGAGCCCCTTCACAAACCCCATCTTTTTACAGCGTTAACATGGTCAAGAGACCAGTAACCAGTGCCTGGAGGGAGGGGTGGCCATCAGCGCAGGACAGAGGAAGTGGCCTCTTACCATGTGGTAGTTAATCATCTCCTGCAGACTGTCTCCGAATTTGTCCAGGCACTCCTGCAAGAGAAGTCAAAGGGAAGTGGCAGTGACCAGGAGCAGCTGTCCCCATCCCCAGGGCTGGAGGCCGTGACAGGCACTCTCATTAAGGCCCTGAAGAGCCGCTCTGTCACTCAGCACGCGGGCAGTCAGTGAGTGTGGCACTGAAGCCATAGGCTCCCTGTCCTCTCCAGTTTAGTGCTGAACTGCTCGTGCCCAGCCGTTCCTCCTGCAGATTGCTTCCCGTGTTTCCTGAAGAACTGCTGCTCACTGACCTAGATTCCAACAACCTGGAGAGCGCTGCGCCTTCCGAAAAGCCCAGCTCTCCCTGCACATGAGCAATCTCACGCTGCTTTTTCAGCACTGCGTTATCAGATGCAGGGTTTTCTCCTCAAATTAAAACCTCCCATTAAATAAACAGCCCCTTAAATAGTGCAAAGCACTAGGGTGTACAAGCAATGCACAGCGTCAAGATGGGTATCCCATATCCCTCAGTGTGTTCCACACTTCCCCTCACAGGCTGACTTACAGAAATCATCTCATCCTTCTTGCACTGCTGTGACAGATCCCGGACGCCGCTGACGAAGTGCTTGTTGGTGGTGATGTAGGCTTTGCCTGCTTCAATCATGCTGCTGCAGAGCTTCACCAGCTGCACGAGGAGAGAGGCGTGAGCAGGCGGCAGCCATCAACCGCCTTGCAATCACATTGCATTTAACCTGCACCAAAACCAGCCTGCAGCACCTCTGCAGGAGAACGTCCCTGCTGTGGCTGCAGYAACTGCCCTTACAGCAGAGAGAGAGAGACAAAAACCTCGCTTTCAGGGTAAGGTATGATCTGAGCGTGTCATTTGTCACTTAAGGAAACAGTTCTGGGCAGTTCCTATGTTCCCTGGCATGCTGGTCTAGCATCAAGCCCGACCATCTATGAATCAACAATTCTGCACACCAAGAAGGCTAGGCTGGTGCACGGCACATGTCTGAACTGCTTGGGACTTGCTATGGGCTCTCCGTGGGCTCTGGAAGGACGTTTGTTCTGAGGAATGTCAGCGACTTTTAGGAAACGGCAGCTTTAATGAAGTTACTTGGAACCTGCAGCAGCAGGAGGGCAGCTTCCTCATGCTGCAGGCGGCTTTCTGCAGCCTGGCCATGCAACTCTGCAGAGCCTTTAGAAGCTTTAGGTAATTTAACAACTTCAGCGGAAATTCCCAGACTCTCTAGCCTCAGCAAGCCTGGAATTGGCTATAAAAGCTGGACTCTTAATTTGCATTTTAGCCAGAATTCCTGGCCATTTGCCTATCTCCCTTTAGCCAAAACTCCTTGTAAAGGGGCTACATTAAACACATTAAGACCACAAAGCGTAGGCCAAGAGATCTGCAACAGACTGGCCACTGAGCAGTATCTTAAATAGACATTTTTTGAAAGTCATCATTGTTCCAAGCTTTTTAACTAACTGAACTAAATATAGAGGCTGACAAGGAACATTACTTGGAACTGAAATCTTCCATTCTCAAAAACCAGGAGCTTCTTAGAGATATTAATCTCCCTAATGAAAAACAGTTTCGGAAATCTAACTGCCAGTTGTCCTCACCTACAGGCTGCGGATGTCTCTCCACTAATTCTCTATAGAGAAGGGATAAAGAAAGGCAGGAATTGTGCCCCTATCCTGAGTGCACAATGCTGCCAGCTGAACGTCAGAACACCCACGGCAAGCACGGTGTTCTAGTTTGGGCTTGGGTTTATGTAACCCAGAGCCTTTGGGCTCTGTGCTGAAGCACATTCTTTAGGCTTGCACTGCAGAACAAGCTTGCCCGYCTCTGCCTGCAAATCTGCAGGAATTTATAGAAGGCTATCTGAATGTATAAACATATATACACTCCGCCAGCAGGCTTGAACTATCCCCTAGAATAGCCCCAGAGAAGGGAAGCAAAGAGATGCAGCTCCTGTCACATCTGGAGCGCAGACGGACACGAAAGGCTGGAAAGGAAACGCAGCCTATTCTGCAACGTGGCGGTTTCCAGCTCTGTGCACACGTCTGAGGCCAAGGCTGGGTTACAAGTAGCTGCTGAAGGCCATTCAGCACGAGCACATCCAGAAACGATGTTCCCTAGCTCTGGAAAGGCTCCTGAGACATTAGGAGAGCTGGGAGAGCACTGCTAGGAAGGGGTCTTTTGACAGCTGGAAGAAAACCTGAATATTATGAAAACTTCTGAATATTATGAGAAATCTCTGTCTCTGCCTTTAGCAATCAAATTCCCAATTTACCAAACCACGAGAAGTTCAGAGATTTCAATAACAAATATTAAGCCACATTTCTGATACCTCCTTGCACTGAATAGCTCCTATTCCCTTATCCTCCCACAGGGAGGAAGGATGACTTTGCACATGTAGGACAGGCCAGAGCAGAGGAAATCTCTCTGAAAGAGCAGCTAAACCCAGAYGTCTGGGGTTCCCTGGGCGAATCTCTGAAACTGCCCTTTGCCTCCCTTTGAACAGGCTAAAGGGGAAATCGTGTACAAACCAAGTGCTCACCGGCACTGAACAAGGCACAGAAACACACCCAGGCCTTGCCAGTGTGTTGCWTGAGCAGCACCTCACCCAAACCGGTCCCCTGGGAAAGACCAAGACGGGACAACTCCCTTAACGGGTGGAGCAGGGACACGGGCAGCACCTGCCGGCGCAGCCGAGGCAGCGTGAGCATGCAGAGCACCATCTCCCAGCACCAGGAGCACCGACCTGGCCCTCTCATCCTGCTGTCACACAGCAGCCCTGACAGGTGCCTGGCAGCAGAGGGAGACATGGCCCTGTGCACAAGCCCAGATTTTATACAGCGATTTCCTGCTACTCGGTGACGGGGTCCGTGCTCAGAGGGGTCCTAAGCAGTAATTCCCACGTCTCTCTCCAAGCCGATGCTGCTCCATCTTACCTTGTCAAGCTTCACTTCTATCTCCACCACATCTGTTTCCACTTCATCAATGGTTGCCCTGCAATGAGAAGAGTAAAAAGAGATAACGAATTGAAGCCCAAAAGCCCCAGAAAAGTGAAGACTGCAGGAATTARGGTGTGTGAGTCAGTGGGGGACAGAAGGAGGGATTCGCACTAGGTCCTGAACATCCTAAGCCTCTTTCACAGGGGGCTTTGGCAGCATCAGGATGAATCTGTTTCCTGATTATTGGATCTATCTTCTTTCTGACAGATATGACAGTGGGATCCAGCTGCAAAGGTCACCAGGCTTCCCCTAAAGGGAAATATTAACATGACATCAGCCATCAGCAAGAGGCATTCCCAGACTGAGACACGTGGTATGGAATGACTTTCTCGGAGGCCGGCGTCCAACAGGAAGCGCAGGAAACCCAAGAGCACAGCTCATTGCTACAGCATGAGCCTGCTTCCTATAGCACCTCAAAACGTGGCAAACCTCAGGCCACCCTTCTCCACCAAAGCCACACCATTCAAATCACTTTTTCCTAGCMCTTCTTCCAGCCGCTTCCTTAGGCAGATCCCTGGAAGTGGCCTCCAGAACCCAGGACAATCTACCCGCCTTGCACTGCAAATGAAATCCTGGTGACTCACTATGGAAGTGCAGATTTCCCTCAGGACGCCCAGGGCTCTGGCCACAAGGGATCTGCTATCAGCTATCTGCAAACACAGCCAGAAAAAGCAGCTTCTTTCYCTCTGGTAACGCGCTGGGGTTTTGCTGCGACCCAGGGCTTCCTCGCAGGCAGGCAGCCTGTCTGTGCCCCTGGCAGAGCTTGGGAAGGAAACAGAATAATTGAAGAGCCTCTTTCAGGCAATTTTTTTTCACTTCCAGCTATTTTTGTTCTCTGCGTTCACAAGTCATGTATTGCCCTCTTACTGCCAGATTCAATCTTTCCACTTGGTTTCGTCTTGCTTCCAAGAGCTGGAAAAAAAACAGAGCCGGGATTTGGGGGGTTGCTTTCTTTCCAGGAAAGCAGGAACCGTGGGCTAAACCGAAGGCATCCGCTACAGCCAGGGCAGGCTGGACGTCTGCTTCCCGCTCGAAGGTGGGGATGGGATCTGTGATTTCCTCCCATCTTTACCCTACTCTGAGCAAAGGAGTTGATATATTTGGACGGGGTGTGGAGGAGGAGGACGTTTTGGACTGAGAATCCATGGGACAGAGCCAGGCAAGTACGGATGTTACGASCAGAGCCGTGGAGCACACGGGGATGCTCAGCAGTTAGAGTCCCCACTAACCTCGTCGGAGGCAGCTGGCTCAGAGAGCGGGCGAGCTTGACAAGAGGGAATCGAGCCACTTCAGCCATACCCCAAAATGCAAGGTCCCAATTACTGGGAAGCTGAAAGCGGTGTAGTCATCTCCTGGCTGGCTGCCCTCCTCGCTTCCTAATGCTGGGCTCTTCCTCCTAATGCTTTTCCAGGCCTCCGGCTATTTCCATCGGTGCACGGGCTCAGCACAGAGCAGAGCCCTTGCAGCCGAAGAGGAGCTGCCTCAGTTCCCTTGCTTGGAGAAAAAAGCAATTCCCCAGACTCYGCAGGGTTTTACATTATGATTTTTAACTTGTGCTTCAAGGAAGCCACTCAGAGCATGACCTATATGTGACAAAAATCTGCCCAGATGCATTTTTATATTCCAGAGGGATAGGAATAGTGAATTATTATCAGGCAACAGGACACATGCATGACCAGAACTCATCTGCCTTGCCCCTCTTCTGACTGGTCCTATAGCCTAGACAGCCCTAGGCAACGGGGCTAGAATAACCCAAGGGAATAACTGCCCRCATCCAAAAAATGAACTAAACACAAGAGTCCCACCGGCAGAGCAGCKCAGAAACCAAGGAATATCCTCAGGTGATGACAGCAAACAGCACATTTAAACAGCATTAAGTAATATCTTATTTCTTGCCAGCTTAGGCAGGAATTGGTCAACACAGATTTCTCCGAGAGGCCTGTGTGTATTTTTTGTGCTTCTTTTTCTTCGTGGTGAAATGGCAGCTGTGGTTTGCTTGGTATTTGCTGTTGACTGGGCACCTCTCACACGTGCTGTAAATGGAAGCATGGCAGAAATCCAGCCCCAAAGTGGGTATTAGGAAGACAATTACATTAAAAAGCTCAGTTACGTGAAGAAGAAATGGAGAAAGCACAAGCCTCTTGCATTGCAAAGCACCCACTCGCAGCAGGTGCACTGGGGGACAGCAGCAAGATTCAAACCAGCTCCCAGCATATTCCATGGACAGATCCCCATCTGGCTCAGCAGGAACAGGAATGTTTCTGTGGGATCTGCCTCCCGCAAAGTGTATGCAGTTCCACCCAGGGCCCATTTGTGACTCTTGTACAGGGTCTCCTACACRTGGCAGCTCTTCCTTAGGGAAGGGGGCAGCCTGTATCTCTCGGCGTGAAGCTCTGCGGGCAGGACAGGCCGCTTCCCTTGGGATCGGGACGAGCCACACCTGCAGGGCAGATGTTCCCAGATGCCGGCCGGGACGCACGCAGGCGTGCTGGGGCTCCAGGCTGCAGCTCGTTATGTAAGCAAAAAAATGAAATGGAAAATTCTGGGAAAATAACTAGTCCCTCCATACCTTGCGGTGACAACTTCTCCATGAGCACATTTGCCGTGGCCAGAAAAAGGACTCCCTAATGAGCCTAATTATGGACATCCCTGGCAGCTTCAGCTCAAAGATAAAATTATTAAACCACCCAGAGGATTCACATCCCAAATCCTRCTAAGGCTTCCACAAGCCCTACGTGCCACATCGATGTTAATGCCCGGTGTCTCTTGGCTTAATGCTCTGGGTCAGAAAGAAACACAAGTTTCCACAGCCCAGGGTGGGAAGCAGGAATTCCCTGGTCCTATTCCTGGATGCCATAACATCAATGGGAGGCCACTTACCACAATCTCTGTGCCCCTTTATCTCCATTAAAACACTGAGGAATTAATCCTTCCCTCCCTCATAGGGTTGTTTGGAAGATTAATTAAGTAACAGTGACAAAACGTTCGGCGTGCCAGGAGCTGCAAAAGCAAAGTTATTATTATGTATTAAATCTGACCGTGTCCTGTTTGAAAGGGAGTGAAACCGATATTTGCCTTTGGAGAGCGCGGGGAGATCAGCTCCCTCCTCAGCAGACAAGGATGTCTGGCACAGACACAAGCTGTTTCTCATTCAGCTCCTCCTTCCAGAACTATCAACAGCCAGACATGGTCATTAAGAGCTGCCAAACTCCCTTCCAAAAGAGCCTTTCTCTTGCATTTGAAATGAAATGCATGAGTTCCTCCAAAAAGAAGGGGMTTGAGGGGGCAGATGGGATTTTAAGTCCCTTCTTCATATCCTTATCCTCTGCAMCACACCCAAATCAGGATGTTTAACCTGAGAAGTGGTAAAATTCCAGCACTGGTTACTAGAAGATCAAAACCAAAGCAGCTAGTAACCTCATTAAATACTTATCTGCAGACCTCTCTGCCTTCTGCTACCCACTGTTCCTCCTCCGTTCTTAAAATAAAACTTTGCATCTCTCGGCCAACGTGAGCAGGCAGCACCATGGCAACAGCTCCATAGTGACAATATCCATGACAACCAGATCCGGGAATCGCCAAGGCCCCCGGTTCAAAGCAAGGACCGGATTTGCATGGCTTGCTTTTTTTCTCTTTTTGCATTTTCTCGAGGAAATAGCAYGGGACCAGCTGGGAGAAAGCAGCAGCTGGGAATCTCTGGGCAGCTGGCAGGGAATGCAGGAGATGGAGAAGAAGTCGAGGAATGGAAGAGTCTTATTAAATCCCACCTGGGCTGGAGCGTGGGCTGGAAGGGAGYCTAGGGAGCCGCTTTCTCAAGGTGATAGCTCAGCGGCTTCGGGCTTCTCTCAGACGAGACACGAAGCAGCCGTGCTGGCCAACCTGCTGCAACGCGCAGCGCTCGTTAAAAGCCTGCAGCGTTTGACTCACTCTGCGGCCGCTCCAGGCTCCCAAGCGCGGTGGCTCCGGAGCTCCTCCCGCAGGGATCACAGGGGCAGCCCAAGAGCTGCCCTGGCTGAGGGCAAATCCCCACGTCAGCACGAGCCGCTCGCGGCGCGCGGGGACGGAGCCTCCTGCGCTCATGGCCTTCACGTAGGGTGGCCGTAGGGCCCAGGTGGGAACGCGAGGACCCTGCTCAGCTGAGGCTGAGTTCCCCGGCCCCCGGGTTGGCTCCTTCCTCACCAGCAAGTTCAAGACAAATTCGAGACTAAAACTCAGGCAAAACACCAAAAACTGCAGTAATACCTAAATTCTGCTTCGGAGCTGCAAGTTCCTGAAGTGTGAGCTTCACTTCTCGTTCCTTGTGGCAAAGGCAAAACTCTCCCTGCATTCAGCAGCAGAGATTGAAAGCAGCTCAAATTCCAACCTTCTTATCCTTGGAGGGGTCTCATTTAATGAATGGTTTGGATCAGGACATCAAGGGCGCTGCTGGAGAAGCAGCAAGGGGCCTCATGGCTTCTTAAGTGGTGAGTGTCCTTGGTGCTTAATGTCACTTGTCCTTCCACCCTGATGATGGTAACATTCTTTGCTGCTCCAGCTCTCACCCATCCAAGCTTCTGAGGGGGTCCATGTGCTTCCCGGGGACCCTCGGCAGTTTGGGAAATGCAGCTGGTCACCTTGTCCCTTTGTCACTCTTCCCCTTATGGGAGGCTTGTGTGCAAAGGAGGGGGAGGCGGGTCCTGCCGCCCTGGCTGCTGCAGCACAAAGGAAATGTCAATGTTCATGCGGCTCTTGGGTTGTGTGACACTCTTGCACCCACAGCTCTGCAGAAGAGGCTTCCTGCAGAGACTGCATGGAGCTCCCGTGCCTTGAAACACCTTCTTCCGAGAGTGGGGAGCATGACTAGGCTGGGAATGCCGGTGAGCTGGGGCAGGAGTCTGGGAGGCCATGGTCCTGGCCTCCATCCCTGGCCTCCTTCTCGGTCCTGTCAACAGGAGCTGCTCCTYACCCCTGCCCTGGCCTCCCCACCTGCAGAACGGAGCTGCCTGCTCGAAGCTG